CAAACTGGTGGAACTTCTGAACGCAGCTAGATTCCTCCCCAAATGTCGACATATCCAAATTCTCAGCCTTGAACATGATAACGTTAAACTGAGCCAAGTGTTTGATATAAACTTGCCGAGTACCAACAATCATTTTGTTTCACAAAAGAGCGGTGTTGACACTTACCGCGGTGAAGCGGAAGGACAGCGTCCCACTTACGGTTATTTGCCAGTAAAGAATAACAGGTTCAAGCAAGGCTTGGCAACAGCGATCTCTCTACGATAGCGTTCGACTGAGTAATCAGCTGACGATTTCCGTAGAGGCGCTTCCATCCTTGTTTCTGGGAGACGATGAATCACTGTCCTTCAGCACCACCGTGACTCAAATGGTGGAGGCCATTAATGACTGATAGGCACCGAGAATTAGAAGGACGGTCAATTAAGATTCATTCCTGCAGTGGCGATAACAGCTGAAGAGTTTGTTGAGTCCACCAAGCAAGAGTAGGGGAGAGCGTGTCAAAAGAAGAAGCCATCCGAAAAGTTATCAGATCGTAGTGTATACATAGCTCTAGTCGGTTGATGTGACATCAGTGCGGAGGACAATAGGAAGTTGGCCCAGAAAGGTTCTGTCCAAAGGCTTTAGGCAGGCTCTTGGGACCCGTATTCACTTATTTGTAGCAGTTTAGCATAAGAGGAGCCAATTTACAGACTACTTGTGGCGACGAGGAAATCTACCGGGTAGGAGGTGTGCGTCAGGACAGGACTGAGAGGGAATTGAGCCTTAGGACTAGGGGGCTGCAGAAGTTCTAAGCGCTATCTTTGACGCAGCTGGACAACCAATCAGCCAACCGCGTGTACCAGTGGCATAGGTGGTTTCCTGCATTATTTAGTATGGAAGGGATAACCACACTGCAAGCGACTCACTATACAGGTTTCGAAAAGCTGACAGAGTGCTATGCCGGAAGCTCTTTGGGGTATGAAGATATCTGGCCACCCGTATTGAAACCATACTCACATGCCCCATGCCACTTGCTGTGACCTATTCCAGCAGTCCTTAGATAAACGCCAGTTTTCACGCTAGGGAAGATGTGCAATAGTCTCCCCAGACGACAGGGAAGGGGAACTCCGGGGTGCCACCACCCCGCAGAGTTTCTACAAGTGCGGCCAAGGGTCAGGGCGCGCGTGAGGTGCTGCAATGCTGGAGGACGCTTGGACAGATGGAGAGCATCATCAGATTTGCAAAGGCCCCAGATAAAGTGGGCCCCTTTCATCCGATCCTTTGATGCTCTGAAACAACTTCAGCCCGTGCTTTGACCCCCAGGGCCCCGTTCTCGCGGCTCTTCTGGATCACGTCATGCCCATCGTTCCGGTTCCACACACCCTCCTTCTGCGCGAAGTCGTACCGCTGAATGTCGTTGTCCATTTGGTATTCTGGTTGAGGGGCCGTCGAGGGGGTCAAGAAATCCGCGCAAAAGTTATTGGAATAGAACTAACTTGGGGAGATCATCCTCTGGGATATCGATAGGGGCTATTCTAGGTCCCGTGTTTTTCCGACTGGTTGCGGATGGCCTTCCTTGGGATCTGCACTCCACAGTCCTAATATTCGCTGAAGACGTTAGGCTATCGGGGACTATGAGATTCAAAAATGACTCGAATGCACTGCGAAGACCTCGAATACCTCAAGCAGCATGGGAGTGACGGATTTGTCCATATCTTAGATGAACCCCCGGTAACGTTTTTCCACTCTGCTGATCCGAAGATAGCACACCGGAATTTCTCTAGCATGCAGTTCTGCCACAAAATTGCGGGGAGAATAATAATTATAAACATGACTGGTAACTTAGATAACATTCCAAAGTACCAGCTGGAGGCATTCAGTTCCTGTGTGGTGCTACGTTTCTCCCACAGACAACTGGTTGCCATCCCCTTGAAGTCCTTCCTGAGGTTCTACGAGACTCATGCACTACCTCACTACGAAGTTCACAATTTTGCTCACCACGCCACATGAAGAGGAGTGTGAACCAAGTGAAGAAACCCCGGGGGAAACCATTAATAGTGTCGTAAAGACAAGGGTGAAATTTGTGGGAGCAGACCAAAGGATCAAAGCCTTTCATCTTTAGTTACCGTGAGGAGCTGCAAAAGACCTACATACGACTTCACTTAGAGATCCAAAGCGTCTTTCCACCACCATGCCTGAAGGAAGATGTGAACCTGCCGCAGAAAGTTTAGAAACGAGCAGCAAAGTATGTTGTGGGATCGTGGGAGAAGCCCCATGAGGACAGGCTGAAAGCCTAAGAGCTTCAGGAAGAGGTTGGATATCCACGTAGCGACGTACGGCCTGTGCTTATCCATCTTGGATGTGTACTAGGTTGATACAACCCACTAACTCTGCACAACCCATCACAGTCAACCCTGTAGCTAAGCTTTTGTACCGCGAATTTGACTCAACCTCGTAATTCCCCGTTAGACGTCTTACCTCCAGCTACACCCCTTCCATTAATTGCATCATCTTTTCCGTCCCCACAAACTATTTTATGGTTTTACTTGTCTCTCTTCTTCCCTCTGGCTGTGATCTCACACTAGTTGTTAAGGTTTGCCCCACCCTTCTCTCCCATGAATCCACCTAAGTTTCTCCTTCCCCTCCACTCCGTCTTCTTTCACTGTTTTTCTTCTTCGCCCTTGATTTCGCTGGGCACCTTTTCTATCTCCCTCATACAACTAGTCCGAAAAACTGTTCGATGACACGGCGCCTGAGGGACTAGTCACACAACCTCTACAGACCCGGTCAATACCCAACCGATCGTCGGGCCAACCTTAGCAACAGCAGACGGGTGGGTAGGCCTGCTGCGCTGGAATCTACCAATGACCTGGAACCGTTCCACAAGACCTAGAAGGGAGGGCGGAGACATCATCTGGATATTGGAACTTCATCGTAATCCGAAAGATACTAAGAAGCACGTGATACTCGATCAGGGGGAGTGCTACCCGGGGGAGGCCCTGACGAAACTTTGCATCTGACAGTGAAAATCTGCACGCCATTGCCCTTCTTCTGTTCCTGCTCTTGTGGTCTCTGGAACAGTTTTCCTGCTGTGGAAGGTATAGCTTCATCTATCATGTGCCTCAAGGATAGATTTCGCCGGTACGCAGTGATACATGGACTGCGTCTTTCCAATGAGGTCGCATACTGGACTGGGGCAACCAAATGGCGTCACACTAAAATTGCCATCACTTTCTTGCCGATCCCCCACCCAACTGCCACCATTGTTGTGGATACGACTCTATCCTCTACCCTTCTGCTTCAACACATATACCTCCCTTCCGCATGAAATGCTTTGCCTCTTCAGTAACTGCTTCATCACTAGCACCATTACTACTCCCCTGTCCGTCACCCCTACTGCATTCTTAAATAATCGCCTCTACCCCCCACAATTCCTTACCAAACTTTGCGTAGATTATCCCTACAACCATATTCCTCTTAGATTTGTCAACATTTCTTTGTTTCTTTCCATCTTTGTGTCTCATTGTCCCTCATTTGTCATCTCCAACATCTTCATTTCACCAGCGTATCACATTCAAGGAAAAACTAGGTCACCAAGATGACAGGTGCGGGGATCAATAAGTATTGAAGGCCTACTCTATTACCTGAGAAAGGAAGAGGAATATTGCATGGGTAGACATGCCCGTGAAATATTGGTTGTTTTATTTTAAGTGTGAAACGTAACTGAGCGATGGATTGTTAAAAGAGCTTTCTTGGATCTCATACATGCGATTCAAAGGGTGTGGTGAGAGTGAGGCGAAAACCCAATGAGGGCAGGCCGAAAGATCTAGGACTCTACTCTGCAAGCCACCGTGGATTACGTGGTGACTTGATAACGGCTTACAAAATACTAAGTAACCCAAGTAATCTGAACAGTGAAATCCTACAGGACGGCCACCGTGGCGATCCTCGTGGTGACCCAAGGAGAGTCGCCCACCAAGGGGCGAAAACCCGCGTGAGTTCGCACTTCTTCTCCCTGAGAGTTTGCGGCCACTGGAAAGCATTTTCTGCCGAGATTGCTAATACTCCGTCTGTTGACAGCTTCAAGATAGTTACGCAGCGACGCACGGTTTGCTCTCATCCAGCTAAGATATAGACTGGGCTGATACAACCCAGTAATTCAATAAGGCCAACCTGTTACTGAATACTTTGTAACACCACTACCATAGCGAACGTGGCTCAACCTTATGCTTTCCTGTAGACGTCCCCCAGTTACCGTCTCCTACTAATAGAATTACGATCTCTATCCCCACAGGCCACCCTAAATGTCATTTGCTCCCCCTCTTTCTTCTGACTCTATGTCCTCACACTCTTATGGAAGCTCGCCCTACCACCCCTGTCCCATGAATCTGCCTACGTTTCTTCTTCCTTACTGTTTCCTTTTTTATAATAGTTTTTTTCGATTGTTTCTTTTTTGCACCTTCTCCCCTTGATTTCTCTGGGTATATTTTCCGTCTCCGTTTTGCCAGTTAGACCAGTTACCTGCTGGTACGATACTTAAGGAGCCCATCCGCACCAAAGTCCTTGGAAAAGAAACCAACATACTCCCTACAAATTTAACCAACACCCAAACGCCTGCAGGGCTAACCAGAGCTACAGCAGTGGGTAGACCAATTGTATCGGAATCCACCGAAGACCTGGAACCGTTCCTCAAGACCTAGGAGCGAGCGCAGAAAAATCAGTCGGTTTACACTAGCTTGTAAAAAGATATTGGATATTGGAAACGTTCAGTTACCAACTTCTGAAATAAGAATTTTGAGTTAAATGATCCTCAAAAATATGAAACCTTCAGTTACAAAGGGTATTAAATTTTCATGTTGTCGCAGACTACTAACAACGGCTATGTACTCAGAAATTAACATGACTATCTTTTAAACTGTGTACTTCAAGTTTCGTTGTGTCACACTAAATCGTTCAAAGTACAAGGGCCGAGTACTTGTCTGCCTATTTTGTCCAGGCTGGATGTGATGATAAGTATGTGCAAATGTCGGTTTTAGAAGCTGTTCTACAAACTCTCAAGACCCTGAGGTTTGATAACTCGACGGCACCAGCAAATCCTGCCGAGTCGGAATATGAAAATCTTGAGACGTCCGTGAGTTTTGTATTTTGTGTTTGAAACATTTGATAGGAAAAGCTAAGGGTATTTCATACCTTGCCCACACTAGCTATTAGTTTGGGGCCGGTGGAAACACGTGAAAAACTCATACCTACAATTGCAGGTAGGAAAATCGATTCGAAACAGTAAACCGCATCACTGAGTATTTTGAATAACCGAGTCATTTTATTTTATTATTGGTAGATGTTGTCTCTAATGCCATTGACGCCGGGGATGACGAAATCCTTATGGTCATAGCCCAGAAGTTAGGTTCTTTTGGTGATCTAGTCGGTGGCGCTGAGCATGTATCTTTGATTGTTGTAAGTTCGAGGTGTGGTTTTTAAATCTTGATATTTTCCCCGTGATATGTTTGAGTTATAAGACACAACTCACTAGCTATAACCTTGCCTGTTGTCTTTAATGACGATTGGAGGTAATGATTATCTACTTGAAAGTGGTTTTTTGCAATTTGTTGCTTGGTTTCTTTAGAGAAGCAACAAAGCCACTGATAAGATCAGTTAGCCGTTCACAGTTCCTGTTCTTGTAAGCACCTACAATTAAGTATTAAGCATTTAAAAAGTAAATGCAAGAAATAAGATGAGTGGAGAATGAGAAAAGAGGAATGGAAAGTACTTGTGGAAAAACAAGTGGTACTGGTATTAATATGGAGAAGGTATGGTTCTTGAAGATATTAAGGTTGGGGATTCGAGGTATGGATAAGCATAACTTCAGTGGTAAGCCGTTCGGGCTTAAGTACTTATTGAGCAGTCGTTTGAAGGAGTCATGATGCAGCAGTGGCTACTTTCTACGGCAGAGCTTTCCATAGGGCACACGTGCGAGAAGTTAAATCTCACTCCATCATTACTCTACGGTGCGGCATGCGAGTGGAATTCCCACAAGACTAGGTTTTTGACCGATAATGTTATCCTGTTAGATTTGTATTGTTGTCACAGGTCTAGTGCAGAATATAAATGTTTCGGATACAAATTTTGTTCTGTTTGAGTCTGTCTTAAAAGTACATGCGATATCGTTTGTACTTGTTTGTTTCTTCAGTGTATGGGTGAGTTTATACTCATCAGAAAAAGAGCCAAGACAAATTCTACTCAGAGATCTAATAAAGTATACAGAACTGCAATACTGCATCTTAAATTTCATATTCATAATCAGAATATTCTTTCATCCTAGCCTATACTCGCCAAAATAATATACTCCATTGAAGAAATTGTTGTCGCCGAAGCAGCATGTAATTCCCTAATAGCAATCCTTCCAAAACTCCCAAGTGATGTTGTGGATAGTACATTTGCACCAATCATTCGTCACATTATTGAAGGTGAGTTCATGGAATATATCTGAAAAACTCGCTTTCCCTTTCAAAAGTTCTATGGCATGGCATTTTTTAAATGACTTGGCCGGTTCGGAAAATTTGTAAGGTTCTCTCTTGTTGATTGCAAATACTCGATTTATGAACCACTAGGTTAGTTACTTGACTTCCAACAAGTGGTTCGTAGGCTCAAACTCTACTCCACCTACCAGGGTTTGGGCCACCGGATATCCTATCCCACAAAATATTTGCGGCTTGATGTGTAGTTCACAGATCTATATAATGTTCAGTTTTAATTAGCATTCTAACCATATTACTAGTATTCGACAGTAAGCAAGCGTTTTTTCAGACTACCTAATCTGTATTAAATAAACCTGTTTAATGTAACAATGAATCAGTATTATTTACCGGATGAAATCTCGAATGAAAATGATTGCTGACAATCGTTATCATATGCCTTGATTATGAGCAGTAAATTGTGACTGGAACTTCATTCTTGCTCATGGTAAGGTAAGGAATCTGGGAATCGCTTCACTTGCCCCGGTTCTTAGTTGATATTGATCAGTTCGACCAATGAAGATTTGAACTTTCTTGTAATAAGTAAGCAAACAAAACAGTTAAGTGACTAGATTTGGGCCAATTTGAATTAGGTTTCCATCCTTCTGTTTTATATTTATCAAAGGATAGAGGAATAATCGAACTATATGAACAAGTCTCCCACATACCTTTTATTCCTAGGTAGTGTGGTAATGTGCTAGTGTGAGAAATATAATTGTTAAATTCAACAATAAGCAGAATTAATTCACTTTTTGTTAAATTGGTTGCAAGTGTGTGTGTTCGTAGAAGGTAGATAATGCTAGATTGCACATTTTGCGTACGTGTAGTCAACAAATAAACAAACTTGGTACATATGTTTGTATATTCAAACTGCTACACTTTGCAACAGAGGTAAAACCAAGTAAAGTAAACCTATTGAAATAAATGACGACGCGCGTTTAGAGCGAATAGCCTAATCTTAGTCGGTTCAACTCTACCCAACGTCGTACACCGAGATAGATGACGGTATAAATTCGTTAATCAAAGTAATGTACCTAACTTCAACGTTGTGGATTCAATGCTTCTACCGGACGTGTGTAATACTGTGCAGATGTCAGTTGTACCTTGCGTGTCTTTGACCCTCAGTGGGTGTATCTTATAGCTAACTACTGTTCAGTAAATTGTGTTCGGTAGGCGTCGTTTACTGTATTCATTCTCGGTAGAGTTAAATAATTATGAATTTTGTATGCTGAAAGTGGTATATGGTTTTTATTTTCCGACCCAACATTGTATTGCTGGCAGACTTCTTCGGAGGGCCTACACTTCTGCGAATGTTAATCTTTTCCAACGTTATAGTAAGCTTTTTTTGAATATTTCAGAGGATCTTTACTGTGCTTCAAGGAAAGTAGTAACGAAACTAATTATCGCCTGCTATCCTTTGGTTTCTTCAAAGAATCAAGTAGATTTCAAGTAGTAAGTCTTTTAGTTTTAACTATAAATGATTCATGTTGGTTTTGTTACTAATGATTGAAATTCTGATTTCTTGGCTGAGTACTACTACTCAAATATTTTAGTTCTCTGGGAGGATTCCTCTATTTTGCAAGCATTATGGGAATTGTAGTGGTATTCAGGTATATCTGATATCTAACTTGTAACCGAAGCTTTTTGTAGTTATCCGGAAAAGAAATCCAAGAGTAAGCACTTAAGGCATCTAATCCGAGTGTAGACTGTATCTACAAATTTACATAGAATCTATGTGTTTATAGTTGACAGTGATACTATAGGGATGTTAGTTGAGTCCGTGTAATTGTATATGTAGGTTCAAGTCTTGCTGCACCTGCCGATGTTTGGACAATCAGGCATAATCACTTGACCTCATAGTGGCTTCCTGTCCAGTAGACAAACCTGCCCATGGTAGTGGTTAACAAACCATATTGGTGGTTACACATGGCGCTTCGCGATGTCTATCTGTTTAAGAAACCAGTGATACGCCATTTGGGTGCATTCAGCTATTCAGTTTATTCATGGGATATGATCTCTTACCTGTTAGTGCTCAACAACCGCGTCAATTCTTGTACCTCTTCGTTCAGAAGACTTGGTTCATAATAAGCTTCTTTAAAGTGTGACATAAGTGGTCTGTAGTCATCAAAAACTGCTTTCCTACAACACTAAAGAAGCTGACTCTGGGAACTTTCTTGTATAAATTTCATGACATTGCTTTTTTCAATGAAAATAGTTTTGAGCTAGCATTTTCATGTTCATCATGTTTATGCGTGTCTCTGCTACTCGGCGACTCAGGGAGGAAAATGTAATGCGGAAATTAGGATAAAGATGTTTGGATGCATCTGCAGCACTGATATCGATTCTGAGCTATGTAAACTCTAATCTCCAACCATCAGTTTAGGCTCTCTCGGAAGTCAATTTGAAGGCCTGCATCTGCTTACACGATTCAGATCAACAGTCAAAAACGTCATGACCGGATGCTACGTTTTATTCTGGTCTCCTTAAACCTTCTTCCATGCTTAACCTACTTTGGCTGAAAATTGCACATTGAAGGTAGACATTGACTAGGTGTACTCAGCGTATCTGCTGAACCCTTAATAGTCATTTTTCAAAGGCATATATTGGGGATAATATTGGATGGTCAACCGTGCCACGCTGATACTGCCTTCCATATGGGAAGGGGGGATAGAAAAGGTTGACCCCGAAAGTAACACACTCCTACCCTTCGCAGCATCCCGATGCTTGCAACACAGATTTATGGTCGGATTCAGAAGCGAAAAACCAAAATCATGAACATGCTAAAAGGCTGTGTGTGACCGGCCTTAAGCAAAAATGTCCCTTGGACTGTATGGTCACACACAGTCCCTTTTTTTCAAGTACCACAGAAAAAATTAGCTTTCCAGGGTGTGAGCAGCGGGGATGTCAACCGCTTGCACGCTTCCAGCAATACACTAGGCACAATCAAACATAACCTATCCTCCTCAACTCTGTCTCTACCGTTGCCTTCTCCTGATACTTAAGTCAGACCTCTTACACCTTGCTCAACCACGAGCTGGGACTATTGTCACTGATCAAAACCATCGAAATTTCATTCTTTTTCTCCTAAGAACTCCCATCCCATCGATTTCATGTAGGAGCTTTCAACGTCCGAACTCTATGCCAAATCAGACATCAAGCATCACTCGCCAAAACTCTGGAATCTCTAGCAACGGATGTATACTGTATCTCAGAGACATGTATACATTACTCGAGTGTAGTTATTAACTTGACCTCCCCAAGGCAAAGTAATGAATCTTCACAATCTACTTTAGAAGTATCCGGAGATTCAATGACCAGCTCTCGTGGACTTGGTGGTGTTGGCATAGCATTGAGTCGTAAAGCAGGAAGTGGTATCTTCGACTGTATTCCAGTAAACAGCCGTCTATGTGCTGTTCGACTGAATGGATCTCTAAGGACTAGGAAGAATGGTGAGGCTAGATAATGTCTATTCGCAATCTCCGTCTACGCCACCCACCGACTGCAGTTCGGATGATGAAAAGGATGAATTGTATGCGAAGCCATCAACTTTGCTACAGAAAGAAAAACGTTCAGATGTAGTTATAATGGTAGCTGATTGACTAACCCTCAAGTAGGGCATTTATGCTGATCGGAAAGGCATTTTAGGCGTATTGGCGGAATCTCATGCCAACAAACCGACAACAGTGATCTGCTCTAGTTTTGCTCGGATATTCACTTGTTTCTAGCCGGCACTAACTTTGAGCATCAGGAAAGACATTGCCTCACATGGCGTCTGCCGACTTCAGACCAACAATCGACACAGATAGATGATATTGGTATAAGCCATCGTTAGAGGGAGTCGGTAGACCATTGCCGCTCTTTCTGTAGTACCAGTTTGGACTCCGATCACGCGCTAGTATAGGCTTGCGTATATCTGCACCTTGCCGGCCTCAGGAAACGGGTGACAGTGAAGCCTGTCTATAGTTGGTTGGAAGATGAGAACACTAAGTCCGAATTTGGGGAAGAGATACCTATGTATTTATCTGAACATGACATCATTGCTCATCCTGAGGAAACCTGGGGTCATATTAAGTCTACTGTAGAAACAGCGGTAAACACAACTAGTAACTTACACTTGAAGGTTAGCGAACGTCACTGGATTTCCACGACGTCTTCCAAACTGATTGATACAAAACGACTGATTCCAACTGACTCTGATCACGATTAAGAGCGAAAGTAACTCAAGCATAAATTGACTAAAAGTCTCGTCGGTCACGAGCAGTGGTGGCTAGCGAAAGCGAGAGAGATATAGGAAGCATCAGCGTTGGTTAACACTCGCCAACTACTTAAACTTATTAAGGATGCCGGGGCGAAGAAGACGATAGTGAGTGAAACCACCAAAAGGGATGGTATCCTGATAGCCTTACAGGAAGAACGGATAAAGCGTTGAGTGGAATACTCTGAAGTACGTCTTAAGTAACCCACAGCAACACTTCAGTTACCCAGCATGCAGCCTAGACCTGAGTGGGACGTAGATGTTGATCCTCGAACTCTCCTTGAAGTTGAGAAGGCCGTATCAAACCTGAAACGATGCGAAGCAGCTGAATCTGACGGCTTGCCGCGAGCAGCTTTTTAGGTTGGAGGTAGGAAATTGCTGCTTAGAGTGACGGAAGTACTAGTTAGTGTATGAAAATCACAGGTAGTTGCGTCAGATGGATCTACTTCACTGATCATCCCAGTCTAAAATATTTCAGAGAAGTCTTTCTGTGACTAGCACTGTATCCAAGATTCATAGTTATCCGACGCCTAAGTGGAGCTCAAGAACAGCAAACTGGAGGAAGCCAGTCAGGTTTCAGACTTAAACGAGTGTGCATCGATCAGATTTTCACCCTCCGACAGGTTCTGAAACACAGACATACCTACCGACCAACTGCCGACACTTGCTACATTTTTTGACCTGGAGGCAACATTTGACTTTGCTGACTGTAAAGGGAGTATCGAGAAAGTGTATAACACTAGTCAAAGCTCTCTACTTGAACTCACGCAGCTGTGTAAGAACTTATAGAGAATCGGCATGCGAATTAGCAACAACTAGTGGTGCCCGCAAGGGGTGTTCACTGTCACTGTTCCTACTTTGTCATAGACGTGCTAATAGAAATAACGTTAGGTACACCTAATTTTACAACGGTTGACCTACTCTCTGAAGGTTATCTGGTTAACTTGGAACATTGGGACGCTACTATCCTGCTGGGTGAAGACGCTAACAAAATGTAAGGTTTTGTGAACACGGGCAGAAATCTGGGTGTGCTTGGCACGCATTTCTCAGCTGTCAAATGTAAGATGACGCTCCAGGACTGATCTGCTACAAGTACTCCCAGTTTAATGCTAGAGAGTGAGGAAGTAGAATGTGTCGACCACTTCACTTACTTGGGGAGTTGTGTCAGCCCCAACGGGCTGGTTGCTGACAAAATCTCAGCTGGGATATAGAAGACATGTTTAGCATTCGCCAACTTCCCTCATGTATGGCACTGGCTGGCGAGGTTTTCGACTGTCTATCAAAAGACGAGTGTGTTACGCTTCAGTCCGTTCTGTCCTGTTGTAAGGCTGTGAGACATGACTGTTAAAAGAAGATATGAAGAGGCTACAAGATTTTGATCACAGGTATCTTCGTAGCATTCCTCGTGTTTCGTGGAATCACCGTGTGAGCAATGTTGAGGTAGGGCAAAGGGTACCAGACAGGATAGGTGAGTCGATTGATGAGGCTGTGAACCTTCATCGTCTGAGCTGGCTCGATCATGTGTTGCGCATGCGGGGTCACCGCCTACCTCGATGTGCATTGTTGGAGGAAGTTGGATTAGCTGGGAAGAGGGTTCAGGTGTGACCAGACCTACATGTGGCACCAGTCCATGAAGTCTCTAACTTTTGGTGTGAGTTGTCTGGGGAGATGTAGACTACCTGGTTGGGGTTCCTGAGGTAATACGAATCAGTGGTGGGCAACTGTTGGTGATATGTTTGGAAATTGGTCACAGTGTCCCAGATGTATTCACTATTTGACGTCTTCTAAAGCTTGAATATTTGCACTAACCTTAATGTTCGGATTGTTTATTCTCTCACACAAGTTTTTCCACTTTGATATCACTTTTATTCTATCCACCTGTCTTTGTATACTACTGTGAAGTGTGTTAACTGGAACCGGTTCACTTGTGTGCGAGGTTCTATGTTGATTCTCTCTTCCCACCTGTCTTTCCCGTCGAGAAATATTATGGTGGTTGCTTTATTTTGCGAACATTTCACACTAATAAAAGCTTTTTGCTCGACCGCCCGTGATCGTTTCAAAGCCTGCAGTTGGTTACCATCTGAAATAGTGATATCATGGAGCGTTCCTCAGTACTGTCAACTTTCGCAATTCCCATTTAATGGTGCTGGTAAAGTTATGCTTCGTGAATGCTCATCGGTGATTAGTCTTGTTTTCGTCACTCCTCAAAGAGTACGGTATGACTGACAAAATCACGATGCTGATAGAACTAGTTTTCTTAACCCTCTGGCCAAGAAGACTTTTGTGAGAATGTCTTCCAGTCTTATCGCATCTCAGTTTTATGATAACTAATTGTATCCTGAGTTAAGTGTTGGTTTAGTAGTGTTATTTACGTATGTTTATAGCTTATGGTGTTTTGTTCATCTTCCCCCTTAATTTACGTTCTTCTGTTTCTAGTCGACTTTTCCATCTGGCAGACAGTGAGGATGAAGTACCCTTGGTTCGCGCTTCATCTGTTCAGCAACTCGTTCCCCTTGCCAAACTATTTGGTCCTGACCTGAAATCAGAACTGGCATTGCTAATTGCAAGGTTTGTCAGCACTTCTAATTTTATATATATAGTTTTTATTTACAAAAAGGGACTTCAAATTGAGCCATGTTTTCGTTTACCCACATCTTTGTCTAACGCATACGTTTCTAGTCAAAGCTAGAAGATGCACAATATGTTTATCGTAAAGTTTAGGCATTTCCTTCCTCTAGGAGCCACCATTTTTTCACCTTAAATTTCGTTTCTGTTTTCATTCATAAACAAAACGAATGCCCTTATACTTGCATAAGATGTTTAGGCTTGGCAGCTTTTTGGGAGTTTGATTGGTTCAAAAGTTTATATAGTATTGGTGAAGGTTGCACTGTAACATTGAGTATCTTTGAGACCGGATAAGAGTGTTGACCACCTCACTTAATTGAGAAGTCAGATCAACCCTCATGGGTCAGTGACTGACGAAATATTTGTGTGAACATGTATGACTTGCTTAGCTTTAAGCAACTGATACCAACTATGGTACTTCCACAGTGCTCGGCTGTCTGTTAAGGATCGAAGGCATTGCGCGTTACACTTTGCTGTGTTCTATTGTATGAAACATCATTAAAGGTGGAGGACATGAGAATGCCTCAGGCGTTTGGTCACCGTCGCCTTCGTAGCATAGATCATGGGTCGTGCACCAGCATGTCAATAATGTAGAACTCAGGCGCATAGTTTTAGGTAGAAGAGGAAAGTCAGTTGATGAGGATGAAAAACGTCTTCGACTGAAATAGATGGGACGTGTTATGTATACCTAGTAGTTACCCCTAGTCTGTTCCCTCGTGCATTGCTCTCTGAAGTAGGTAGGTGTACGTTGGAAAGGCTTAAAAGATGATCAGACTAAAACATGGTTGGTATTGGTCCATAAAGTCTTTGACGGTCGATCTGAGCGATATAGTGAAGTATTTATCAGAAATCATACCCACTATGCTGTTATGTTGAGATAGTCAATGACAAGGTGAGCGTTTTCATGCATTTAGTCCCCTTATGAACTTGACTAACCCAATGAGGACGCTGTTTGCAGGATAACATGACGTCACTTATTTCATAGGATTTTCTTCAGCTGCGAACAACCGAAGTAAGTAAATAGTCGCTATAACAAATATTAAGGCACTTTGTATGGAGCGTTTTTAAGACACCGGCTAATGTTTTTAAGATCAGACACAAAGGAAGTTCAATTTCAAGTGGCGGACGTGAGAACAGTTAGTAAATGACGGCATTGGATGGAGGCCGTGCTGTGCCATGGACTGATGTGGATCATTGGATTTCGACCCAGTGAATTAATGTTAACGGGGTGGCCGGGGAACCTGGACGTCCTGGGTTCGGTCCCTGTCTGTGTTATGGGTGCTCACTGCCGACGATTCCCATACTAAGACGAAATAGCTTTCCAGTCCTCCCAGGTTTCCAATGTTTCTCCAGATGATGTCATTGCACAATGAATACTAACCTGAATTTCAATTAGTAAATCAAGTCAAACTGCCTAAGGGTTATATAAGGCAAGATGAGGAATGTTCATGAATGAATGAGATAAGATTAGAAGTAAGTAGAAGGGGTTGCAAAATCATGTGACAATGTCATGTTCACCAAAATGATAAGTGAGTGATATAAGACTATCTTAATAAAAACTACGTTAATAACGAAACCATAATCAAAACAAATATATGAAATACTTCAGGAAAGATGAGGGTGAATAGTCATTAATTCTCAGGGCAATAATAAATTGTTAACTGTCTCCTGAACGCACACAATTCCGATTGAACTCGTTGGATAGTGACGCCTTCGGCGATTCAAACTAGGCGCGAGGTCTTTTGTCTGTTGACTGCCATGAAGGATTTCATTGCATCTACTTAGTATCCTGTATCATATAAGTGATGAACGAGAATGGACTTTTGAGACGTAGATCCTTTGGCATGTGCTTCCCATTCCTAGTAGACAAACACTTCTCTGTTCTTTGTACATACTTGCTACTGCATATACATGTGAATAGATAAGTATAGTTGGGGTTGGCATGATTTGGAACTTTGTTTAACTTGGATTGTATACTTTCATATTTTGTTGGCACAGTAAGACAAGTCTCGTAGTCAGATAGGTCTTTGACAGAGCACTTGTCATTCATCTGTTGTTTCTTATCACAACATCATCTCCCTTGCAAGCCGAAGTATGGAACGCTATTTAATTTTGAACAGTGTTACATGCCTCTCTATTCTCCTTGTTTTTACAGTGCTTCTGAACGGACTTCATCAGATGAGGATTATTATGTAGTCACTGTTCGATTAGTTAAAATTCTTCTACTTGGGAACTCAATTTCTCTGCTTTCACGAAAACTGTCTTGTAGCTGATTAGGTTAAAACTGTGGAAGTTTAAATACTGACCGCTCCATGTAGTTTTACATTGAATGCTCGTCTCTATTGTGGCGTTTTCATTACGTCTCAGCTTCTGCTTCTCTTCACATTCCATCGTAAAATTAGTACTACGATGTGCATTATTCAAGTGTTGAACTCTGCTTCCTCGCTTATTTAATGTTTTCAAAGATAATAAAGGTATAATCAGCATATCTTAACTAAATGATGGCTTCATTGACTGTAGGTTTTAGGGTGGTGTTTTTTAAGCGTGATATGAAGATGTCTACCGTTACTGGTCCTAATGGACTTCCTACAGCCACAGTGTTATTTTCATTGTATGTGGTGCCGTTGAATTGGAATTAGACACCTCTGGTGCACAGAAACAGTAGACGCCTCATTTCTGCTTCTTTTTCCGCAATGGTATCTTCTCTGTACTGGCAAATAGTACCTTTATTGTCTTGAGGAGAGGTATACTCGTAAACAGAAAAGTTATATCATATGAAGCCATGGGCTTGTTCAATAAACTGAGATATCTTAACATAATATTATCACACGATTACGCAATTTCATTCGTGAACATTTCTCACCTTGCCTCATGTAACCCTTATGTAGTGGATTTCATTGGAATATAAGAATGTATATTGTACGATATAGCATATAAAATAACACTACAATTGTAAGAACTAATAAATCATTGATTCAAGCCTTACTTTATTTGCTGAGGTTTGAGGTTACTAGGTAGCGTCATAAGTTCTCAGGTTGTAAAACTGGACCAACGAAGAAGTGTGGTTCCTGTTGCTCTTATCTAGCAATAGTAAGCCTCAATGTTTTATGTTGGAAACTGATGCGTTTAGGGAGTTAACCAATTCATTCAAGAAGCATCGTTATAAGCTGTAGTAGCCTTTTTATTTTCATCGCCAACTTCATTAAGTGTTCTGTGTTTTTTGACCAGTTACTGTAGTGAAGATGTGCAGTAAATGTAAATAAACTGTACCGTGCCCTTACCGATACCCGGTTAATCTTTAAAATATCAAGGGGAAGATATTGACTCATGCATAGAATTCCCGTGTAGTTAGTTTAATAAAAATGTTGAACACTTGAGTAGTATTTTCATTTTATGGAATTTTATTCGTTCAAGATCAGTTTTTATCAGTCATCTTGATATACTACTGTAGGATGCAGTTTTGTAGATATTACTTTCTTCTTGTTGAAAGTCGCTTACTTCTTTAAAAGTAATAATAACATAGTTGTTGCTCTCCTCTTTAATCCTTGGTATTTTCCTTGATTTACAAATCACTAGAGTATGTTATATATTATGTTATCTTCTATCGTACGATATTATCACTTTTGCTTGTGATTCCCTAACTTTTAAAAATCTCTATTTCAGTTTAGTTTCAGATAACCAACGGATTGTTAGAGCTGCTTGCCTATCACCTTTAGTTGAATTAGGCCGAATGATTACTGATGCTGGGGAGTTTGAATCTACAATCAGACCATGTATTGACAAACTTGCAAGTGATCCTAGCAGGTAAAAAAAACTATGCCTTTTCTCATATTTTTGATATAACTTAGCAACAAACCATAGATTGGAATATTAACTAACGGGTTTACACATATTATATGATGGCGAACTGTACTATCTATCCATTTACTGGGATATGGATTAAATACATGAACCTGCCAACGTGTAAACTGATAAATCAATGCATAACGCTATGCAGAAGTGTATCAGTTCAAGTTACCATACTTCACAAGAGCACACAGAGAAATTGGATTAGAAATATTAAGGTATATTACATAACTGTGGAGCTGTGAATTAATGGTCTGGGGAGAGATGACTACCAACCGTTGGGTAGCGGATTCGAACCCCACTCCACCTACTGAGGTTTGGGCAGCTAGGTAGTATCAATAGCCCTTATAATATATATGTATGTATATATATATGTGGCTCATTGCCTACCGCACTAATGTGCACAAGGTCGCTGAGTGCATTCCCTTCATTCGTTTCACATACTTAACTGACTGTGCCAGATTTCCACTACTGTGATTGATGATGATTAGAAAATCGAAATGCACTCAGCAACCACATGCATGTTCGTGCAGTAGGTAGTGAATCACACCTGTTTTATGAGAGCTAATGACATTTTCTGGCTACCGAGACCTTGGTAGTTGGAAGTGGGTTCGAGCCCATGACTTTGGAAATCGATTGCCCAGATCAATGAGCCATAGGTCTACAATTAATGCAGTTGGCTAGCTGTCAGATATTAATTAGCGTGTTTTCGCTTTCTGATGAAATAAATGTCTATTTATGCTGTAAACAAATGTGTACTTATTGGACTGTGCTATTCTCACCAATTCGTTGGCTCCAACTGTAAGAAGAAGCCTTATCATAGAAGCTTGATGCCATATTCACCTGCCTAAAACCAGGTTTTGGGTCAGAAGAGATATCGGCCTACTGGAAGTCCTCAAAATGGTGAACCGATTGACAATTGATTGGCTGCTTGATATCTCCCATCTTGTCCTGATGACCGACTAATGTGAAGATATCCTTTGTAGTTTCGTCATTCAGTTTCTGTTCTCACTGTTCAACTTCAACTGCGTTCTATCATCACCAACTTCTTTGAAGGTTTTCAACTTGATTGGGAAGGTGGGTTGCTTGCCCTAGATAGTGAGTGGTGTAAAACTACATCTGCTCCCCTTCTTGATCTGATCTTGTGTCCAATAGGCTGGCTGCGTTTCCGCTTTCTTCACATTGAGATGAAGTCGATCTGATTTTCAGTGTAGTGTGTCCTAGTGTCTGGTGCAATTAAGTCCATGTCGCTTTGTGGATATCCTTGTGTTTGTACACACTGCCTCCAATCATCAAATCGTATAATGCGCAGAATTCTGCAAACAGTTCTCCATTCTCACTCCTCATTTCACCGAGCGCTTCTCTACCCATGGTTAGTTCTCTTCCTGTGTTGTCTGCTCCTAGTTTGGCATTCATGTCTCCCCATCCATTAGAATTTTGATGTCGCTAACTGAGGTCTTGTCCAATGTTGATTGCAGTTGTCTATAGAATTCCTCCTTCTCTTGATCTGCATTATTTGTAGATGTGTAACGTAGTATTGTATGATTGTAACTTTCCTTCCTTTTGAGTTGAATCTTGCTGTCATGATCTTGGAGGAGGAGATTGGTTCCCACTGCATGAGAGCCTTCGATGCTCTTCAAGGGGACATCATGACAGCCACTCCATAATTCAGTGTGCTCATGGTTGTCGTCTGAGTGACAATATCGGAGCAGATTAGATTATTGATTCTCCAGTTGACAGTTGAGAGAGTCCACTTCCATTCCATGTGCTCTTGCATATTTCTATCACTTCTATGCTATAGCTTCTCATCTCCTTTGCAATCGGGGCAGCCTCGCTGGATTCCATGTCCCCATTCTTACTTTCGCTTTCATCTAGAGAAGAGAAGACACATCGGCCAATTGGCTTCTCGAAGGCTTTCACCAGGTGGCGTCATTTCGCCTCTCCGATTGCAGCGGAGAATGAGTTTAATTTTATTTTTTATATTTTCTTTGTGATTTGAAGTTTCTTTAGCGATTGGATTAGTTTTATGGGGTATGGTTGCTAGCTCTATGCCCCACCTTCCCTCTTTACCCGGGCTCAGAACCGGCTAGTTACTAGTTAACCAGGCGAGGTTAAAAAGCGCAAACTATTGGAATGTAACCTAACAACCCAACATATTAGTATGCTCATCATAAAGTCTGAGTATCTTAAATCTGATCTCAGAATAAGTTGTAAGTGCTTAGTACTAATGAAATTCAGTTAAGAACCAGATTACCGATGAATTTTTTTTTTGCTTGATTTCAACTGTACGTATCCTGTTACGTCGATAGGTTTTCGCTACAGTCTCAGGTGTATGTATAACATCTGTGTCATTGAGTGGAGGGTTTTTTCTTTTGAACTGGTTATCTCTTATGTAAGAGTGTTGATCATTTCTCTGCGTATTTGTGCAACTAAGTAACCTCGAATAGGTGAAATTATTTCCCATCTTGCTTGACACCACCTCTATCTCAAACTGTCATACATGAATACCTCAATTTGATTAGTTCATAAATGCAGACTATATCAGTCTCCTATTCACTTCCTTACTCATATTTTTTTCTCTCTCTCTAAAACTTCTTTTTATTTCGTTTGTAATAGATTTTATTATAGTTTCAACTGACCCCTCCCTTCTACACCACTTCTTTATGTGTTTATAGAGATGTTCGTAGAGCCATGGCATCAGTAGTCACTAGTCTTCAAACTCTAGTTTGCAATCATGGTGGTGCTGGTCGGTCATTGCATCAGATTATGCTGAATCTTCTTGAAGATAATGAAGTTGAAACTCGTAGGATCTCTGCTAGTCAACTGAAAGGTTTGATTATCACTTTTTTACACATCTAAATTTATGTGTATAATAGTTGTTGGAAGATGATCTAATCGTTTACTTTCATAATTTTGCAATTTTATGCTTAAATTTTCACTATCAAATATTTCGTTATTATTATTTATAGGGTAATATGTAATTTCCTCCTTTTACACTGAATAGGATTGCTCAATCTTGATACTGCTTAACTATTCAGTATACTGTAATTTATTTAGTGTTTAGCACAAGAACTGGCTCTTCTACCTCGATGTTTTAGCGTTTGAAGCGATTGGTCCAAGGTTTGGTGGAAACACCATCACTCACTAGAGTATACAAGTACGCCTAGTTGACGAGTCAAAAATAGGACAAAATGCTCGTCTCGAATTCCACTATCAGCCACCAACGAAATCATGCTGCATTTCCTTGTTTCAAAGTGGAGAGTAACACAATCGGATGGTTGTTATAGCAACAGATATTATATCATTATGTTAAAATGGTTTTAATATCAGAATGCCTATATGATTGGGATTTGCAAGCCAACTTGGTTAAATAGATGGAAATATAGGATACTTAGGAGCTTATCCTTGAGATAAGTTATGGGAGTTACCCTGATATGATAACTATGGATAATAAATTGTTACCCAGTAAGTAATATTCTTATTCTTACAGACTTTACCAAGTAAGCATAACTTATTTAATTCTTAAATTGATGTGTATCGTCCACCTACTTTTCACATTTCTTCCCCTTTGGCTATTTCCTTATATACAAGTTGAAGTCTTTTAAACAATGGATGAATTAGTGTAATATCTGATGACTACTACATGCTGCAAGTAATTAATATTTTTCGTAAGCATGTAAGCACATCGACTTATATATCTTGCAAATAATGAATATAAGAGAGAAATTCTCATCCTTATGCGTTTTTTTCATCAATAAGTGTCTTTCTTTTGTGGTTTATTACAGATTAGCGTGTTCTCTTAAGTGTCCGTAAGTAAGGTATATACTTTGCACTATCGAAATGCAAAGTACTTTTGTAAGATTGGCAATAGCCTGTGCCTGCGTCCACCCTTGGTAATGAGTCCTTGGAAGTAGTGGAAACGTTCTTGTGTCCGGTTAGTTGTGCGTGTGATGAAGTTTCCAACTAGATATCGAAAGCCAGAGTGGGATACGCCAATCTAAGCCACCTTTGGCGCTGTCACGACATTAGTCTGTGCGTAAAAGGTTGGGTTTACAAAGCTTTGGTGTGAGTATTCCTGCTCTACGCCTATGAAACCTGGTCTCTTCGAGCTAAGGATGTGCAACGGCTCTGTGTGTTCGATCATCGTTCTCTCTGTAGGATTTTTCGTATCCGGTGACAACACCATGTAAGTAGTTCGGAGGGTACGATGGCGTGTGTTTGGGTATGTTGGAGTTCGTCATTCAATAAGCGAAGTCATCTGGAAACACTGGCTTCTACACCGTTCTTTGTTTGCTAGCCGTGTGACTGGGCGGAAGAAGTGGAGCAGTGTTTGACGTGGCGCCGTGGGATGAAGGAAAGTTGTATGGGGTTACCATCTGTTGGTGCATCATGACTTCCTGGCTGGGGTTCGAGATATCGCGCTACTCAATGATTTGAGACGTTATAAGATATGGTTGAGAATCGAAAGCAGTGGTGGTCATGCTGTAGCTTCCTCCTATCCTCTGGTGTTGAAAAGTAATGAATGCTTTGATTCGAATGTATCTTACTGGATCACCCTTCTAATCATGCTGTTGTTATTGTTTTTCTTTCTTACTTACACACTTTCCATCGTTTATGTCTTTACAATGTTGTTATACTATTTCGTGTAGCGCATTTCTTGGTACCCTTGCTTTACCATGTTTGTGTCCTAATAATAATAATGATAAATTATAGTCTAGTGTTGAAAGGGAATGGCTAGCAGTCTGTACAGAAACTCTAGTCTTTTCACATTCACCCAACTAGAGTCTTGCATATGAATCCTGTCATAAGGTATATCATTATTGGTAGCAGTAGTATTCGCGCTAATTCTGCTTGGGATTTCAAACCAACACTTTTCTATGACTAAGCGCATCCCACAGCTTAGCTAACGTACTACTACAATTTCCTTATATTGATGTTAATTGTCACCTGTGCAGACCAATCCCAGTCTGTACTCAATCCTCAGAATCTGGATAGGAAATTGATCTTCTAAGGGATTTTCGCCTGTGTATCTTTGTTTTTTAATGTCCAGCCTCTTTCCTACATTCAACTGTTTAAATCTCTATAATTATAAATGCGAGAACTATCGAATCTACTTCATCACTTTTGGTATATCTGTCCTGTTGACTGTGTAGTCGCTTGTCTTCATCACTGGTAACCGTAAACCGATGATGTGTGGCTCATTGTCTCAAGAACTCAGCTTTCAAGTAATGATTTATTGCTTGGATAGAGAAATGTTTTTGTATTTCATTCTGTATTCTTTATTCAGATTCCATTTCATAGTTACATTATACAATCCACTAACCTTGTACACATTTGTGCAGTAGGCAACAAGCAGCAGCTATTGGGTTGAGAGCTAATATTACCACCTGGCTTCTCAAACCTCGGTAGTTAGATCGAGGCTCAAACCCGTGACTCGTAGGTTGAAAGTCATCCTTCTAAACCAATGAGGTACACCTCCTCACTAATAATAACCGAGGTTGGAGTAGATACAATGCTTTTGAATCGATAATAAAGTCATAAGTTATCACTAACCTGATTTAGTAAATCACAACTTCATGACATTAGCTAATGTATGTTAACACCAGCCCCTAGGATTCCGTTGGATTGAGTTAATTATTTTGTTTTCTGCTGATGATATACTGTTGGGGAATTAATACATACAGTGAGAAAGTCAGTCAGTAAGTTAGCTTCGAGTTTTAAATTGACCAACATTGAATTACGTATGTGTTCAGTTTCTCAATATAACAGTATAGATGATAATAATAATTTTACTGTCAAATTTTTCTCTTGATTACAACAGATTTCTGTCTTGCAAGTCCTAGAGATGTTCTTGTTAATACTTTACTGCCGCGTTTACGTGAGCATTTATCTATGGAGCGCGAAGAACGTGTACGCTCTGAACTAGTTCGATGTGCCGTCGGTTTATTACCTTCAATTCGTCGAGAAGATTGTCTTCCTTTGGTACAACATATTTTAGCATTTTTAAATGATACAAGTTCACAGGTTTGTAAATTTTTCTGTTCACACTTTCACGTTCCTGTTTATATTTTCCCCCGCTCCCTCCATTGATGCTCACTTACTAATAAAGTTGTTCATTACTTTGCAATGGACTTTATGCTTTAGGTTTGACAAAGCTTTCTAAAGATTTTAAGGAAACAGATTGAATGTGAAACAAAAAAAGGCAGCAAAAACATTCTGATAAGAGGGTTAAATCTTTCGAAAGTGAAGGGGATACGAAGGAAGGAAAAGGCGGCATATGTGCAAAACTTTAGGTGAAACTCAAAAGCTTAGATCTACACTATCAACAATAGTAGTATTGAATCTGGCAGTCAACTCTTTACCTCAACTTTATCGACTTTGAAAAGGGATTCGACAGCGTCGACCGAGAAGTAATTTGGCAGCGGCTTCAACACTACGGAGTGCCACAAATCTTTATCAACCTCATTCAACTGCGGCTATATGAAGATGCTACATGCCAAGTGATCCAAAATGGAAAGCTCAGTGATGCCTTTGCAGTGAAGACAGGAGTAGGACAACCTTACCGCCTACTATCACCCATGATCTTCCTGATTGTAGTGGACTGGATCATGCAGCGAACCGTGAGGAGCGAGAAGGTGAGCATACGCTGTTTCAACAATGAAAACACCCTAAAGCATTTGGATTTCGCCACCTATGTTTTATGTCTATTGTCATGTCGCACAAACTCGAAGATCTAAAGGCGAGAACTAACAAGTTGAAAGAAGAGGCAGGGCAGTCAAGGAAGACGGCACTTCCTTCACGTGAACGTAGAGAAGACAGAGGTGATGAAGATACCCAACCAACAACAGCATCAACAACAAAAGGCACTAATCACCATTAACGGGAGAAACCTAAAGAAGTAATCTCTCTCACCTACCTAAGCAACATCACATCGTCTCAACTACAGGTGGCACAGGCGATGAGGATGTCAAAGCCAGGATCGAAGAGACAGCAAGACAGACCTTCCTTCATTAATCTGAAATCAGTGTGGACATCTACTGCACTCAGCATAAACCGTGAACAACATCCGGATTTTCAACACTAATTCAGTCAAGTTAGTGCTTCTATCTGATGATTGAGAGAATTAAGGCGTCACGAAAAGCATTTCCAACAAACTACAGACATTCATCAACATCTGCCACCCACGCTCACTCGATACTGAAGATCAGATCAGAAGGCCAGAAAGAATAAGCAACAAGGATCTCTGGCCGGGTAACGAACCAACCAACAACCATCGCCCAACAGACATGGAGAAGAAAGTGGAGATGAATTGGGCATACACTGAGAAGGCCGACTGCGGACATCACGCGTCAGGCCAGGCTCCATTGCACTCTCTTCTCTGCAGTCTGCTCAACCTGGCACCACGACTGCCTACAATCTTTCATTTCTTCCTCACATGATCTCCTCCATGTCACCGTAGGACGCCTAACTCGTCCATTCCCATTTGGATTCCACTCGAGAGCCTGGCATCACTGAGCTTTCCATTTTGGATCACTTGGCATGTGGCATCTTCATATAGCCGCAGTTGAATGAGATTGATAAAGGTTTGTGACAGTAAAACCGTAGTGTTGAAGCCGCTGCCAAATTACTTCTCGGTCGACTCTGTTGAAGGTCTTTTCAAAGTCGATGAAGTTGAGCTAGAGAGTTGAGTTGACTGGCATTCTATGCTCTGTTCTATGATGATGCGTAGCGTGGCGTTGGAATTTGATCCGCACATGACTTGTTTTTCGCGAAGCCAGATAACTTGTTCGCGTCGTAATTTTTAATCCGGAGCATTTTTAGTCTTCCCAGGATGATGCGGCCTAATATTTTGCTTGCTGTGGGTGGACATGGGCATGATCCCGCATAAGTTCTTGTAAAGACTTAGTTCGCCGTTCTTTGGGAATTTGGCAAGGTAGTCTTTCCAATCGACAGGTGTCTTTCCTTCCTTGCAAACCTTCTGCAATAGTGGTGTAGTGTGAGCATGTCTGCTGTTACTGTCTCTGCTTCTCTTTTCAGTGCTTCTGGAGGAATTCCATCTGGTCTTGCTGCTTTCCCGGATTTAAGCAACTTTATGGCGTTCAGCGCCTCTGCTTATGTCAGAAGATTTGTGGTAACTGGTAGTTTTGTGACTGGGCTGCTGGTGGTATTTCTGGACAGGTTCGCAGGTGGTGGTGGTGGTGGTCAGTTCAAGAGTTTTTGAATTGTTCATCCCATTTTTTGCTTTCTTCTCTTTGGTAACTGTTTCCTTCACTATCTTTCATTGGCTTGATCTGCGTTAATGTCTCCTCAGATAGTAACCTGGTTATTTGATATGGTGTTGTCATGTCTTCCCTACCTGAAGCCTGTTCTCCTTCACTTGGAAGATTATCGCGTTATATCACGAATTGAATGACAGGCTAAAAAACTGTGGGTTTTTCAATTTCAACCTAAACACTAGTTGTTAGATAACGCGATAACGAAGTATGGTGGTCGTGGTTTCGTTCCGCGATGAGGTCACGGATCCTTGCTGCTGAGAACTCCACACTAGGCCGAAACAACTGTGCAATGCTCCCAGGTTTTCAGTGGTTCTTCAACTGATGTCACAACATGGGAACTGGATGTAAACTTTAAAGATATCGTGCCGCAAAGTCTAATGGTTTAGTTTTATTCCTTTATATAAAAACTTCAATCTTCCACACTACTTATAGAGACTATTGTGTATTAAAGAGGTTTTGTGCATACCGCGTGTCTTGTATTCAGTTGAGCATTTCATGAATAGGGATAATGTATATCGTAATTAGTGAAACGTATTATTTTTTTCGGGGAAGTGTCCTCGTTATACTTTTTGTGAATATTTTCCGTGCTCTCATTATTGAGTAAAGTTTAATTGTGTTGTGTGGATCTTTTAAAAACAACCTTTTGTGTGTGTCTGTGTGTGTGTGTGTGTGTGTGTATGACGCATGTGTTTTTCTGAGTTTCACTAATTCATCCATATCAAATTTTCTCTCCTTTCTTTAGTCTAAACAGTATGTTTTTGAGCATTTCTCTGAACTGGTGTCTTTAATGCCTGCCAACGAGATTCAGCTGACATTACTACCAAGTTTACTTCGTCTTTGGCAAGATAAAAATTGGCGTGTTCGTCTTGGTGTTGTTCAGTGTGTTCCTTGTTTGTACGAGAAGTTGGTGAGTTTGTGTAGTGCAATTCACATGAGTGTTCTCACTTCTTTTTATGTCCTTGAATTTTCAAGGTTTACTGTTATGGTTGTTTCATTTCATCTCCGTTATGCTACTGCATTCTATACTGCATAGCGGTAGTTCGATCTAAACAGTAAACTTTATATCGGTGAGTCGCTGGGGCAATACAGGCTAGCCGGTTGGGTTCCGCGGGACAAGAGGAACCAGCGGTTGGAGGCTGGGTGATATAGCTGTGAACCTATGGCAGTGGCGCAAATGTACACATACATTATCCTCATCTTAACGATACTATACCGAATCTCACCACTTTCTCATTCTTCCTTTCTCTCTCTATGTACTTTATATTTCTTCTGACTGCATTTTCTTATCTTCATCTTGCATTTCACTGCCTTTTTACTTGATGTGGTGGTGTGAGGTGTGGTGGTAACTCGGACCGTTACGCAGTAATGCCTGGTCCTGTATTCATTTGTATGGATGGAGTCGCAATCGAGTGATATCTTCAACACATTAAGTGTACACTGTTGCCTAGTGTACAAACCTACTCGTAATTACTGTGAATTATGAAAATCTACATTTCAAACTTCAGCTGGAAAAGAATGTTTTCACTTACAGATGAAGCGAAATGAAAACTCGAGTGTTTCTACCAGTGAAGTTTCGAAACCAGTTTTTAAGCGCTTGAATGCTCGTCAACCTATCAACAAGTTTATAATTTCAAGTAGGTATTCATCACGGATTCATATCACTTGAAGAACCCTTAGAAACATGGGAACAATAGACAGTTGTTTCTTGGGACTCCTCAGCAGTGCGCACCCATGACTCTGCCAGGGGTCGAACTCCAGTTACGAGCACGTCTGAGTCTAATGGTTTACATTTTCATACTTCTGTCAATTCTTGAAATTAGGACTGAATATATCCTTTTACCAGTGGGTCACATGTTGGAAGCCTGCTCCAACTACTAAGATTTGGGCAACTAGGTAGTAAGTATCATTAGCCCTCACACAATACGTCTAGCTCATCAACTAGCGCATGCAACTTGCTTTTGAGAAAGCTTAGTGTAGTAGGTTTTTAGTTACCTTCAGAGGTGTACTGATGCAACCTAGTACAAATTGAACTGTTACGCAGTAATACCAGTTGCTATGTCGATAATGTTTATCTGCACTGAATTATGCACACTATTTAAGTAGAACTGTAGGCCATTGGTTTAGTCAGTTGATTTTCAACTATTGGGTCAGTGAGATTCAAGCCCCGTTTCAGCTAAGATTTGGATAACTAGATATTACTATTTTCCCATCACACAACACTTGCGTTTCATTGTCGATTGCACGATTGTGCACTTGGTTGCTGAGTGCATTTTAGATTTTTGACCACTTCTAGTCACCTAAGAATCTCAGTTTTACCTGGAACCAACATTAATTTTATAGTCTATGATAGAGCTATGATACTGTCACGGTATCTAAAATAAAACGGTTGGGTTTTTGTTTGAACGGATCATTCACTCTTGTCATCTAGTCGGTAATGTGATTTATGGGTCTTTGGAATATTGTTAGAAGATTCCGCTTCACACCAAATACTGACCAGTTAAAGGTTAATATCCTGTGATTTTTTCTTAAGGATCCTTTCATCCATATGCAACGTGATATACGGTGAGGATTTTCTAACATCTTTTCAGATGTAACCACGTATTTGTTTCATCTTTCGACTTTGTATAGTATCTTTTTTTATTTTGTCAGAAACAGTGGTTTAAATCTCTTACAGGAGTTATATTATCCGCTGTAGAGTGTCTGAGAACAGAATTTATCTAAACTTTGTGGAATACATTAGGACTTAGTTGGAATTTTAATTGATCGTCAGCGATTGTAATCTGTTATAAGTTTCTCTGAAACATTTTCTGAACTTCAAAAAAAGCACATGAACTCATAATCTGTGTACATCAATGGATTGCTTACAGATTGACTTAACTATCTTCTTTTTGTCTCTCAAGAATAATCAAGTATTGATATAATGTAGTAGTAGTAGTAGTTCCTGAGATCATCATTATACAGACGACCTGATCGGTGGAGAATTTTCGTTAGACCTAGAATATACAGATGACATTGTCCTGTTAGATGAAGACGATGACAAGATGCAGAGTCTTCTGAATACAATTTGAGAACAATTTGAGAATGTTTGGGATGCGTTTCTCACCACCCAAATGCAAATTGCTGCTCCAAGATTGGTCTTCAACGGTGCCACGGCTAACGATAGAGAGTGAAGTGGTTGAGTGTGTCGATCACTTCACTTACCTGGGAAGTAGGATCAGCCCTGATGGCTCAGTGGCCAAGGAAATCTCTGCACGGATACAAAAGGCTGAATTGGCTTTCGCCAACTCACGCCATCAATGGCGCCGCCGTCATATCCTATTGTCTACTAGGGGTCGCGTATACTGCACAGTAGTCCGGTCTGTTCTACTGTATGGCTGTGAAACATGGCCATTGAAAGTGGAAGTTATAAGAAGGCTTCAGTGTTTGACCACCGTTGCCTTCGTAGTATGCGCCGTTTTCCGTGGTATCACCGTGTGAGTAACGTAGAAGTAAGCTAGGAGTAGAGTTTTAGGGAGAAGAGGTAAGTCGGTTGACGAGGTTGTAAACCTTCATCGACTGAGATGTTTGAGACACTTGTCGCGTATGCCTCGTCACACAATGTTGGCTGAATTAGGTCCAGGCTGGAAAAGAGCCCGAGGTGGCCAGACTAAAACACGGTACCAATGTATGAAGTCTCTGACTGTTGGTTTGAGCCATGTGGGGCGATGCAAACTAGGTGGTTGGGGTCCACGGAACAAGAGGAACCAGTGGTTGGAGACTGACTTTAGGTGATGTGGCTGTGAACCGATGTCAGTGGCGCAGATGTATACACACATCCTCATCTTAACGATACTATACCGAATCTCACCATTTTCTCTCTCTCTATGTACTTTATATTTCTTCTGACTGCATTTTCTTATCTTCATCTTGCATTTCACTGCCTTTTTACTTGATGTGGTGATATGAAGTGTGGTGGCAACTCGGACCGTTACACAGTAATTTCTGGTCCTAGGTTGATCTGGATGGATGGATGGATAGATGAGATCATCATTACTTTGACGTGCACACTAATCAGAGTAAACTGGCTGTTTCCCACACTTTTAAAGATTGCTTATTATGAGTTTTGTTTAAATCCAACGATATTAATGTTTACATGAGAAGTAGTATGATTTTAACTATTTGTTGATGTATTGATGAGTTCCACCTTCACTCCATATATCTTGACATTTAGGCAGGATATCTTTGGTCGTAAACATAATAATTGTATACAGATTTTCAAGTATGATTAGTTGCCTCTTACGAATGATGATGATCCTCTATGACTAATCTGATAGGGAGTGAAGTGGTGGAATGTGTTGACAACTTCACCTACTTAGAGAGTTGCATCAACTCGAAAGAGTTGGTTACTGACGAAATTTCAGCTGGAATATAGAAGACGCGTTCGCCGTTTGCCAACTTGTATCATCTGTGGTGGAGACTGGTGAGATATCTGACTATCTATGAAACAACAAGTAAACTGTGCTACAGTTCGTTCTGTCCTGTTGTAAGGCTATGAGAGATGGGTGTTGAAAGAAGAAGCGGCTACAAGATTTTGATCACAATTATCTTCTTGCCATTTCTTGCGTTTAGTGAAACCACCATGTGGGCCCACTTTGAGGTAAGGCGAAGGCTACTAGTCAAGACAGGCAAGTCGATTGATAAGGTTGTGAGATGGTTTGAAGATGTACTGTGTATGCTGAGTCACCACCTACCTCGACGGGGAAGTTGGGTTACGTTGGAAGAGGGTTCAGGTGTGGCCAGACCAAGATATTGCACCAGTCATTGAAGTCACTGACTGTTGACCTGAGCCTTGTTGGGAAATATCGACTACCTGGCGTGGGTTCTTGAAATGATAGGAATCAGTAGTTGAGGACTCTTGGTGATATGGCTGTAAATCGGTAGCAGTGGCGCACAGCACATCTAAATCTTAAATATTCACACTAACCGTTATCTTCAAATTGTTTGTTCTGTTACATAACTTTGTCTACTTTAATATCAGTTTTTCCTACCCACTTACTGTTTTTATGCCACTATAAAGTGTGACAGCTTGAGGTGATGTACCTATGTTCCATGTTCTGCGTTGATTTTCTCATTCAATCAGATACGATGAGGTGTATATTATGTGGAAATAATTTTTTTTCCGCTTCAACTTTGATTCTTTTCACTTATATTTTAGCCTGAAAGTTGTTTACAAGAAACTGTTTATCAGCAAACCTTGCATGGTTGCGTGATCCAGCTTGGTGCGTTCGTGAATGTGCTTGCCGTAGTCTTGCTCGTTTATTAGTTGCCTGTCCTTCAGCTTGCAAGAAGGCTTTTAATGGTGTTGGTTCAAAAATAAGTACAAGTTCTGTTACTGGAAGTACTATTGCTTCGAATCCGGGTAATGCTTCATCTACTACAAATCCAGCTACTGGAACAAATGTATCGAATCCCTCTACAGGTAATCCTTCTCTTGCTTCATCAAATGTTCAAGCAATCGATCAAACTAATACTTCGAGTCTTTCTACTTCAACTTCATCAAATTCATCTGTTAATCCAGTAAATGCTTTAACAAATCAAGCAGCTGCAGGCGGTCTAAAAGCTCTTGCAACTGACTCTAACTATCATCTACGTCAAATATATATCAACGTAGTACAAGTAAGCTGAATGAATGATTCACTTTTCATATGAATTGATTGGTATATTTCATTGATTCAATGATATGAATATAAAGATCAGAATTTTTATATAAGGTTTTCTAAAGTATTTCACTTACATTATTCTAAGCATCTCGGAATACGTCATCAATCTGGATATAATCAGTATAGTTCACATCCAAACAGGGATAATTCTGGCTTTTGCTTTTCTTGCTCTTATTTAACTTCAAGCCGAATAGAAACATGACCAACTACTAAAGGTTATTACTCAAATACCCTAATGGTAGCTGATATTATTATTATTATCCCTTTGGTTCCTAGTGGAACATAGGGCTTCAGTAGCAAATCTCCATTCCACTCTATCCTCTGTAACCTTTTGAACTTGGCTCCACGACAGCCCAGAGGCTCCCATTTCTTCCTCACACCTTGGACGCCCAACTTGTCGCTTCCCATCTGGGTTCCACTCGAGTGCCTGGTGCGTGATGTCCCGAATGGTCTTCTAAGTGTATGCTCAATCCAATCCATTTTCACTTCCTTCCAGTGCATACTTGTTGAGCGACAGCTTCTTGGTTGGTTCGTCGCCAGAGTTCATTGTTGCTTATTCTTTCTGGCCATCTGATCTTCAGTAACGAGCCAGCATAGGCAGTTTTTGATAAATGTCTGTAGTTTGTTGGAAATCTCTTTCGTAACGCGCCAAGTTTCTGAACCATATAGGAGCACTGACTTGGTAGTAGCTGATATGTGGATAATTCGAAAGATATAACTTTATGTTGTTGTGAAATGTAGGTATCACAGTTTTGGTCTATGTGACAACTGAGATCAGTGGAAGGAGAATTTAGGTGATGCAGTCTAGAGTGGATTAATATGGTGCATGTATACGCCAACACATTATTTCCATTTTAATCATGATACCGAATTTCGTTATTATATAATCCTTTCTTGTTCTCATTTTACAACTTTCTACTTTATTTCTCAACCTTTCATTTGGGTGCTTTCTGCGTTATGTTGTGGAACCCTTGTACCGTTACGCAGTAATGATGATACCGACTAACTGGACTCATGTTCTTAGTTCTTTGTTCATAACATGTGTGTATAACAATTATTTTTTGTTTTAGATTTGAAAAAGTATGCTATTCCTAATTTTGATTTTTTTTCCCCAGTCAATTTGGGGTCCTGGAATCATGGATGAGCCTCCTTACAGTGCTCTTGGTGATGATCCTAGTGTAGGAATCCTGATTCCTGCCTCTCGAAATATTTATGCATATTTATCATCGAAAACATCGAAGAATTCTTCTCCCTCAAATGTGGATAGCCAAAATTCAAATGTTAGTGGAGTTCCTAAAGGCTGTCAACCACCACCACAGATACCTAGTGTTCATTTGACTAGTTGTGTAGCTCAGTTATTACGTTTCCTTTCAGAGGATGTAGTGCCAAATGTTCGAATTTGTGCTACACAAGCTTTGCAAATAATTTCCGGTTCCCTAGACAAAAAGTAAGTTATGTAAAACTATATTAAAATGTCACAGTTTTAGTTGTTATTTTCTTGAACGTCCAAACCAAAAAGAGTCATTGTTTTAGTTGATAGCTTGAAGTTCAGTACAAAAACAGTTGTGTTGCATCCCCATGGCTGCTGCCAACCCCTGTAGCAGGCTCATTCACCTTTCATTCCTTCTAGATGTTGGAGCCCCTGTACATATTTGGTTTTGGATTATAGTTTTTCTACTTCAATAGATGAACTCTCAGTATTCACCGAGCTGGTAGGAGGTCGTGAAGCTATGGTTCAGTGGTTTATGAAGATAACAACCATTGGGTTACAGGTTCAAAACCCGCTCCATGTACTGAGGTTTGGGCAGCCAGATAGTATCACTAGCCTTCAAACAATAGGTGTAGCTCATTGCCTACAACAAGGATGTGCTCAAGATGATTGAGTTTGTTTAGTTTTCGTTCGTCCGTAGGACATTCTTGTTTTAGATTTTATGTACTATTGTAGGGATGCATTATTGAAAATCGCCTATTGGCAGCGAGTTCTTGTATTCGATTAAATTTATTGCATGTGCTGAACATTTCTTAGATTATTCATAATTTTATTGAAATCTCTGAAGTCCAAACTAATTCGCCTTTTTTCGACAAAACAGTTTTGTAAAAGAATAAAGACTTCAGCGAACAAATTTATATTCCGTGAATTCATTTTCTACAGTTGTACAGTCGCATTTAACTACGATTGGTGTGCATATGAGAATTTGTTAGCCAATAATTGTTAACAGTTTGTGACCATGAAAATAATAATATGATTATTATTACTATTGTTTTTTGGGTTCCTAGTGGAACATAGGGCTTCAGTAACATGTCGCCATTTCACTCTGTTCTCTGCAGTATTCCAAACCTGACTCCACCACTGCCCAGAAGCTTTCATTTCCTCCTCCACGTCACCTTTGGATGCCCAACTCGTCGTTTCCCCATTGGATTCCACTCGAGGTCCTGGCGCGTGCTGTCCTCGAATGCTTTCCTCAGTGTATGCCCAATCCATTTCCACATTCTTCTCCATATTTGTTGGGCGATGGTTTTTGGTTGGTTCGTTACTCGGCCAGAGGTCCTTGTTGCTTATTTTTTCTGACCTTCTGATCTGATCTTCAGTATCGAGTGAGCGTGGGTGGCAGATGTTGATGAATGTCTGTAGTTTGTTGGAAATGCTTTTCGTGACGCCTTAATTCTCTCAACCATCAGATTGAAAGTATATTTTCACTTCATTCGAATCCTCATAGCTGAAAACTCAGTCGTTTATGTATCGTTAGATGACCTTGGCCAGGGACAACAAAATAGTATATTAAAAGTGCGAAATGAACCTATCAGCGTTTAGTCTCCTAAACTGAGGTAGCATCGCACAAAAAGGGCGCGAAAATAAGGTTTAAATTTTACAATGATAACATAAATATATTATAAGTTGGTTTTTCTTAGGGATTAGGGGTTCGTCAAAAGACAGTTCCTCAATAATGGGATACATTCGGAAGACTTCCCAGAGACTATTTAGTTTTTACCTACTGTCATTATTTTTTTATTGTGTTTACCTTCTTTTTGTATTTTTCGTTCGTGTTACCACTTTTGTCTAGAACGATCCAAAATGATGTGATACCGGTTTTGAAGAAAGTTATCGACTATGATTTTGATCAGGATGTTCGCTTTTATGCACAGGAAAGCTTAAATTGTAGGTTATCGGTTTTTTTCAAGTTTGACTTTTCCTCTGATCTACATCTTTCTTCACACTGTCTCATATAAATATTATTTTGTTATACTTTCCTGGATTAGGAAGTGATTGACAATTTCAAGTTTATACTGGGTGATGATTGAAGGTGAAGTAAAAATTTGGACCACTGACGGATTCGAACCACCGACCACTGCTGCGCTCCAGATTTTCATTCCACCTCCAATCATCACCTAGCATAAATAGTAGTCTGCCAAACTATGGCTATCTCCTATAGTCAAATGATAATTTAAAGTATATCGACACCTCGTGGTGCATATTCTACCCTAGCCTAAACTTTCTACCATCTTCACTTATTATTACCCTATGTTTAGAGGTAAGCTCACCAGCTAAACCCATCTCCGCAATGATACAAACAGCTGGGTTATAGTGAAATCTGAAGACTTGTTTAGCAATCGAATCTCATAACTTATTCAGGAGAACATTACACTGACAAGCCGAAGCTCTCCAGTTCACGAATCCTGCTACAATTCACGTTTACTTTGAACTGTTCAATGACTACTGAAGTGTATGTATTTCTCTAGTTGATAATGTATTTTCGCCATAGTTTGTAATTTCCGTTGACAATGAAACCAAATCGGTCACTCTCTATTGGGATTATGGGCTTCTGCATGATGCCTCGATATTATGTATGATTTCAGTTCGATAGTAATGATAGATAGCGGCTAGCAGCGGAATTCAGGACGTATGTTTCGTCCATTTGGAGACTCACTATTCAGTGATGTTGTTCCCACTAAGGCTCGAACCTAGAACCAATTGCTTCAGGCGTCAGATCGTTATCCACTCTAGGCCAATGAGTCATGATAATCGCTTTTTATGCAACAAGTATAGTTCTTACGTTATAGCTTGTAACTTCCCATCGTTGATTGGACCGGATCGATGAAGCAATCGGTCGCGAGTTCCTGTCTTAGTGGGAAAAACATTGGTCACTGGGAGGCAAGTACTCTTACTAACGGAGAAGACATCGAAGTTCAGCGTATCTACCCTTACCTCTTTCGTAGGGACAGCAACCAGTGTCCAGTCTGGATTTTTCCTCTAAGGCTAGCCGGAACTCACATTGATCACTCGACTAACACAACCCCCTCCCACTGCAGTTAGACCGCGGCATCCTTGCAATGCAGTTTTTACTGCCTACGTGGTTGACAGGAAATTGGTCAGACTCAGGAGTCAGTTGGAGATTGCGCCCGAAGATCTCACTCCCAGCCGAAAGAGATGATATAAACGTCATAGCTCCAAATGTCCGATAGCGACCACTGGTCCAGTTATGTTTACTGGGTAATGTATAATTAGAGCTCACTACTGCCGCTGTAAACAATATAGGTAGTGCAGACAAGTCAGTGTAATATATATAATGGTGAGAATAGAGATGATATATATTGATTCATCATCATCATCTATCAACGTAGGACCAGAAAATACTGCTTAACGGTCCGAGTTGCCACCACACCTCATATCACCACATCAAGTAAAAAGGCAGTGAAATGCAAGATGAAGATAAGAAAATGCAGTCAGAAGAAATATAAAGTACATAGAGAGAGAAAATGGTGAGATTCGGTATAGTATCGTTAAGATGAGGATAATGTGTGTATAGATCTGCGCCACTGCTATCGGTTCACAGCCACATCACCTAAAGTCAGTCTCCAACCACTGGTTCCTCTTGTCCTGTGGACCCCAACCACCTAGTTCGCATCGCCCTACATGGCTCAAACCAACAGTCAGAGACTTCATACATTGGTGCCATGTTTTAGTCTGGCCACTATTCGGACAGTGACTAGGTATACGTAACACGTGTCTCAACCATCTCAGTCGATTAAGGTTCAAAACCGTGTCCACTGATTTACCTCTTCTCCCTAAAACTCTACACCTGACTTCTACTATACTCACATGGTGACACCACTGAATACGGCCCATAATACGAAGGCAACGGTAGTCAAACACCTAGGACCTTCTCATGTTTTCCACCTTTCATGGCAGCCCCGTTTCACAGCTATACAGTAGGACAGAGTGGACTGCTGTGCAGTACACGCGCATCTTCATAGACAATAGGATATCACGGCGGCGCCACAGGTGGCGTAAGTTTGCAAAAGCCAATTGAGCCTTTTGTAATCGTGTAGAGAATTCGTTGGCCACTGACCAACGCACCAGGGCTGATCCTACTTTCCAGGTAAGTGAAGTGGTCGACACACTCAACCACTTCACTCTCTATTGTTAGCCACAGTGGGGCACTGTTGAAGACCAATCCTAGAGCAACAAATTGGATTTAGGTGGTGAGAAACGCGTCGCAAACATTCTGAAATTACCACTCAAAGTGTCGAGAAGACTCGGCGTCGCGGCCGTCGCACCACCCGACTGAAAGCTGCTACGTTGATGTGGTGGTCGGGTGTGCATATCACAATGATCCGACGAGCTTAGTTGGTTGATCACTTATTCCTTTTAGGGTCCTACCATACCAGAAGGTCTGTTGGATAGTGGTTAGACGAAAAGCAGTTGCCGTTGTGGCGCAGATTACTAAATTATGATGAGGGTCTGAGAGCGAAGTCGTACTGCTGCTAGCTGGATGGGGTGTGGCAGCAGTAAAGTGTTTCCCTTGGATGACCGGCAGTGCCATACTGATGCTGCCTTCTAAGTGGAAGGGTGTGTTAGAAAAGGTCGGCCCCAAAATGAACTCCACCATACTCCATGGTCTACCGGATTGGCGGCGTTGGTTCATTTGTCGTTTCTTTTCGACCATCCGGCTCCAAAATGATAAAAGCGAACTTTGACTGATAGGAAAGTTAAGTAAGGGTTGAGCTGGGAGTCATAACTTCACTGACTCTTGCTACACTTCACCTATGCCTACTTTTGGGTAACCAGGTAGTTGGGATGTTTCTTCCTGACAGTCTACAAAATTTACATAGTTTTGTATTTTAGTTTACAAGGCATACATTTCAGTGCTAGAGACAAATCTTTGAGAGTTTGTCAGGTGTGACTCATTGTGGTCTGAGCACACTCCACTTGCAACCCCCCCCCACCCCCAATGTGCTGTGAGTTCGAAACCCGCCCCACCAACTATGGTTTGGCTACTTGTACAATGAGCGTAACTCATTGCTTATTGAATGAATATATACATGTTTACTGAGTGCATCCTCTGTTTCAGTTATTCGTTATCATTATATCTTTTTCTTTCCTGTGTTTTTCTTGATTATAGATTTTACAGCTGCATGATATGTACGTGTTTATCGTTCTTTTTCTTCGTCATCATCATCATCATCATTATCTACAAACTCTATCAAGTTATGATCACTGGTCATACCGATGGATTGACTCACTCTGACTCGCTAATCATAATTCACTATTGAAAGGTAGAAATACTGAATTCTTCTTGATAGTCATTCTGTTTCTAGGTTGAAAAAAGCGAAATGCGACACAATATTATTAACAGTTGTACTTTCTTAAACTTGTTACTTCTTTGCGCGTGCGTGCACCCAAGTGTGTGTGTATGTATGTGTATGCCAGTGTCTCTTCTTCCCCTCCTCTCTGTGTGTTTACCCACTTTGAAATGTTTAACGACAACAAACTGTTTTTCTAACAATTACACAAAGTATGCTTATCACCTATATACTTTGAAAAGGATTTTATTAGAAAATTATTTTCGCTTCCTTCTGTTTGTTCCTTGATTTTGTTGCTGTTTTTTTTTCTTCTTGATTTCATATTATTACTTAACGTGAGGTTGAAATCAGCCTATCTTTGTTTGTTTATTAGCCGGCTGGCTGGCTAGTTGGCCGGTTAGGTTGATTCGTTTTGCTTATTGTATTGAGTAAATACACTGACAGCAACGGAGAACAGTCGCATATATTACCCTGTGCATTACTGTTTTCATTATCTCATAGAATTTTCAATTGAATTCTGATTGATGATGAATATACACGAGTAATTCTGTTTAATATTTTTCTATGGTGAGGGATGGATAGCAGTCAATGGTGTTTCTGCTTCCACCTCTGCCTTCTTCTTACGTGTGTTCTTCACCCTATCTTGGCTTGGAAACTCAGAAGCAGTTACTGCATGTAATGAAACGAAGGAGACAACATCAAGCATATCATCGTTTGTTTCTCCTCTGTGTGTTTGTGCGTATATGTTGACTTTATGCTTCTTCTTTTCGTTATGGTTTTTATTAAGCCTTTGCCTAATAACTAACTATTGCATTGTGTCATTCATTATTATCTTAAGCTTTATAAAACGTTAATCATGTGGTAAAGAAGAAATTTTTATGTATGTCAGTTACTTTAATCAACGATTGTACAACTGTGTAGAGATGATGATAATAATGAGGATTATGATATGCATAAAATATCTATTCACTTATCTCTGTGTGTGTGTGCATGTGTGTGTGTACCTTATTGTTATCATTTTGTCTTAATATTCAAGTGAAATCTTGAAGCACTCAAACCTATAGGTAGGTAAAAACAATTATAATTTGTTGATTATCCTTGTAAATCAATTTCAGCTTGAAGTTGTATTTTTGGTTGAACTCTTCTTCGTCTTTCTTCTTTTGTGTGTGTGTGTGTGTTTATGTTTCAAATAATACCTGGATCTTGTAGTCTCTGTGAATTTAATGCAATATCAGAGACAGACAGACAGACACAGTATCAACGTAGATTCCCGTATACAAGTCCATCGGTCCAAGTTGCCGCACTTCATAGTAGTATACAAAGAACAGGTGGATAGACAAAGTTGTGTGAGAGAATAAACATTTTCAACATATTCAAGTTTTAGCAGACACCAATGAGACCAGTTTTCAGCCATATCATCAAGAGTTGTCATCCACAAACTCCTGTCGTCTCGGGGACCCCCAACCAGGCAGTCTACATCTCCCCACTGTGTTCATACTAACTGTGACTGTTACCACGTCTTCTACTGACGACGCCTGAACTCTCTTCTAACCTAATCCAACCTCCCTTAGTATGGGACAGTATATCACAGTAGGTTGAATGAAAACGAATAAGTTATTGTGTATTGAAAACTTTTCCATATGCATCCTTTCTATTCTGTAGTAAAAATGTTTGATTGATTAGTTATGTGTAAGTGTAGAAACAAGGTGTGTCTGAGTTCTCGAGGTGAGATTCAAACCTACGTCAGCGACGGTACCACTAAGGTATTCCTGCCTTGACTAACATGTTGAATTGGGTTAAAAACTTTGGTTGGTCACTGGAGAGCAACCAATTTCATGTTGTCTAGTCCTGAGTGCTGATCGGATTCTATCCATCATTTTGTGCTGTGGCCATTAAGCTTGGAGGCTGACCATTGTGGTGCTCTTTGATGGTTGTTAGTTGGCTGGACTCAGTCGGCAAGAAGCCTTGGACCTGCTTTTTCACACTTGTCGGCAGAGGAACTGCCTTCCGAAGTGTCTAGTAATAGTCCAGCTCACTAGCTATTGGGGATGGTTTGTGATGCTACCTAGCTTTCGAGATCTACGTCGAGGAAGATTTAAGTTACTGACCTGCTGATGTGAACTTCGATTTTCTGAATGATTAACAGTTCAAATTGAAATGCTCTAAGCAACCTTGTGCATGTTCTGGCTTTAGGTAATGAGCCGAATCTATTGTGTTAGGGCTAATGATACTTTACCTGGTTATCTACATCTCGGCAGGTGGAGCGTTTTTCGATCCCGTGACTCATTGACTGGAGGTCAACTGCATAAACCAATGAGTCAGCTTTTATTACAACGTTTAGGGCATATCTTAGTGGCTTAGTGGTCTATTTTGTGTGGTCTAAGGGCTATCCGAACCCGTGACCCACTGGTTAAAAATTAAGTGTACAGATCAATGAACTGCAACTAAGCTTATCTCTTCCCCACTCAAAATCTTTTCATTTTGTATATGGGTTCAAGTGAACTTTAAAGACGACCATTCACGTTCAAATATGCACTGACCAATCACAATGGAGAATATTCGGGATAAAGTAGTTATTACGGAAAATGGTTATGTATTCACAATTTATAGATATGTTTCACATGAGAAACAAAAATGTGTAGGTTTTTAACTGGTTTATTATTTTTGAAACTATACCAGTGGTCTAGGTGAAAAAATTCCTAGATTTGGATTTCGGCGATGACTTGTGTCTAGTGTCACCCAAACTTGAAGATCTACAGGCAAAATCCGAGTTGACAGAAGAGGCAGCGAAGACGGGACTTCAAGTGAACGTAGCGAAGACAGAGGTGATGATTATACCCAACCAACACCTACAGCAACAGCAAGCTCCACTCACCATCAACGGGAGAAACTTTAAGGAAGTAGCCTCTTTCACCTATCTAGGCAGCACTGTTTCAGCTACAGGCGGCATAGACGAGGATGTCAAAGCTAGCATCTGAAAGACAACAAGACAGGCTTTCATTAACCTGAAACTAGTTTGGAGATCTGCACTCAGCATAAAGCCTGAACAAGATGCGGATTTCCAACACTCATTCATTCAAATGAGTCGGTGCTTCTATGTGATGGTTGAGAGACTTGGCACGTCACGAAAGGGATTTCCAACAAATTACAGATATTCATCAACAACTGCCACCTACACTGTCTCGTTACTGAAGCTCAGATGGCCAGAATAATAAGAATAAGTAAGGAGGAACTCTGGCTGGCAACGAAGCAAGAAGCTATCTCAACAAATATGCACTGGAAGGAAGTGGAGATGGATTGGATTGGTCATGCACTTAGAAAGCCGACTGGGGACATCACGCGCCAGATCTGGCCCTCGAGTGGAACCCAAAGAGGAAACGACGAGTTGAGCGTCCGAGATGAGGGTGACATGAAGGAGATCATGTGAAGAAGAAATGGAAGCTTCTGGGCTGTCGTGAAGTCAGGTTCAAAGGATTGTAGAGAACAAAATCCAATGGAGACGTGCTACTGAAGCCTTATGTTCCTTTAGGGACCCAAGGGACAAATAATAATCATAAATACCAGTGGTCTGTACTGCCACTCATCCATTTAAGACCATAACATATCCACTCATGATCCTGTTAAAAGTTTTATAAACCTTTTGAAGATAACTCTATATGTTTTTAAGGTTGTTTTTTGAACTCCAGTTGAATGATCAACGAACTGCTTCTTGTAAACAGTATCTTGATAGGAGAAAGCCATACTAGTTAATGGCATGTGTGACTTCCAAGTGTTAATGTATATTGCTTTACCAGATGCCACCCAGTTTTCTATAACTGGTAGGATAGACTCTTTTGATCCATCTCTTATTGACTGAAGGTGTTCTCTCTTTGTATTTCTGTCGTCTATACCGAGAATCCGTGACTTGTCAACATATATACATGTTTCAAGTTGTTATTCATCGTAGATTGACATCAGATGGAGGAACAAAGGAAACCTGGGAACATTGGACAGCTGTTTCGTCCTAATATGGAACTCCTCAACAGCGCGCCCACGAGCCAGTCTTGTTTCAGTTGTTTTATTCGGTTATACTTACATTTCTGAACAAGATATTCATCTACCCCCACCACATTGCCTACTACACCAAGCTTCACATCCAACCTGCAATTTCCTTGAGAGCATATGTCTCAACAGTGCTGATACCACTGCAATGAGATCTGTAAGAGCTCTTGCTGATATTACTGATGTTTCAACAACTCAGTGTAGTACTAAAATCACTGTTTGTTGTAGAGTTAGATGAGATTATTTGAAAAATGATCCTGTTCTCAAGGATTTCTTCTTGTGACAGGTATCACAACTAAAGATAAAGCTCATCTCTTTTCTCACTGTTAGATACACAATCCATTGCAAACATTACAATTAGGATTTCACGCAAGTAATTCAACTCTTTACAAGTAACCGACAATGTAATCTTCAACATAATTCATAAAATGTTTATGAAGCTTCAGAAGCATTGTAGACGGACATAATAATTGATCATCCTCAAGGTTACCGGCCACTAAAGTTTACTTGAACCTTATGTACAGTATAGCTAGATAAATTAAGAATTTTGCATATATTTTTCGATTTGACACACGTTCTTCTGTGTAAATCATGTCTTCATGAATGGTTTTTTTTTGTAATCGTGTGTTGAGCCCGAGGAGATTATCAGCTGTTAAAAATAGTAGGTGTTAATTAGTCTGATAGCATATCTGTTTCTCCTTGTGTGTATATATGAGATCACCTGAATTCATGTGATATACTTTCTTTCTTCCAGGTGTTTGCCTATCTGAAATTCATATGACCGATTAGTCATTG